CTTGCATCTCAGCATCAAAGAAAAGGGAAGTGAAAAAAAAAAAAAAAAAGGGAAGGAGGGCCAGGGATTTAGCTCAGTGGTTCTGTTGCCTGCCTCGCAAGTGCAAGACCCCGAGTTCAATCCTCAGTACTAAAAAAAAAAAAAAGATTAAAAAAATAAATTGGCTGGATGGTAGCTCAGTACAAGGGCCTGGGTTCAATCGCCAGTACAACAAAACAGAATTCCTGCAATGAGAAAAAGAAAAACAACAGAAAAATGGCCAAAAGATTTAAGCAGCACTTCACAGGAAGAGTGTGAATGACCAAATAAACATGAAAGATGCTCATCCTCACTAGTAATCTGGAAAAGACAAATTACACTCATGGTGAGGTATTTCATATTCACCAAACTTAAAAAAATTAAAGATTTGACAATTTCACACCTTAATAGGGAGAAAAACTACTGGTGGGAGTATATAAATAATTACAACTACTACGGGAAAAAAACCTGAGCATTACATACTAAAGTTGCCAATGTAGATATCACAAGATCCATGCATTTTTTTTTTTTTTGAGACAGGGTCATTATGCAGGTCAGGCTGCCTTTGAACTCACTATGCAGTCCAGCTGGCCTCAATCTCATGGTGACCCTTCTGTCTCAGCCTCCCAAGTGCTGGGATTACAGGTGTGTACCATAATACCCAGCTTGACCCATGCTTTTCACACCTCATACACAGTCTGGAGTAAACTCTTTTGCACAATATGACCAAGTTTCGTGGCAGCCTTGTCAATAACAGGAAGGACCAGACACAATTCTAGTGTCCATCGTCAGAATGGATAAATGTTGGTATGTCCATACTATATAGTTGAGAAAAGAATATATTATAGTTGTAACTATCATGTAAATGCTTTTCAGAAACATAGTATTGGCAATAAATAAATTTTGGAATATAGTATCTGTAATATGATTTCATTTACACATTAATAAGCATAAGAAAGAAAATATTGTTTAGGAATAAGATATGGTAAGAAAACAATTTCTGGATAGTGCTTACTTCTGGAGTAATAAGGAATGGAATAGAATAATGAAGAACACAGAGGAAGCCTCAGAGATAAGCATTACTCTTTTCTTAACCTGGGGGAGTAAGATATAAGGCGATTCATTGTATTGTTACACTTTCCACCTTATTCATATATATATATAGGCGCCGGAGATCGAACTCAGGACCTTGTGCTTTCAAGGCAGGCACTAGAACCACTGAGCTAAATCCCCGGCCCATCCTTATTCATATTTTATAAATGTTATTTTATATCTACTCAGTATTAAGAGGGACAACAACAACGAACGACAATTCCAAACTCATGATCTTTACACTAATACTGCCTCTTCTATAATTAATGAGCTTAATGACTGGCAATACCAGCCACTCAGTTGCTCCAGCCAGAGACCTGGAAATCCCTAACCCTCCCTTTTCTCTTGCTCTCCTCCTCCCTTATCTATTGCATTAGCAAGTTCATCAATCTCAATATTTTCTAGATCTGATTGGGCAACCGCAACAATGTCCTAAGTGGAAGGCCCTTTCAGTGTGTCTGCTCCTGACAGCCAGAGTCATTCATTCTTCTCCTTCACTCTGCACGGCACCCTTCTGGCCTTCTTCCAGTTCCCTGAATGTGCTAGACTTTTTATTTGCCTCAGGGTTTTTGTTCACACTCTTCCGATTGAAATTCTTTCCCATCACCCCTTCCCCTCCATGTGCGGCATTCCCTTCCTCCTGAAGGGAAGGGTTCTGTGACTCCAAGATTAGGTCTGGTAAGACTCCTGTAATAGAATCCTAAATCACCTAGTTTTCCTTCAGACCCCTCAAAGTTAGCAACTATATATATAAGTACTGATTAAAACCTGACTTCCCATCTACACTATAAGCCCCAAATGAGGGAAGGGCAGTAATGTTCAGCTAGGATTTCTAACACCCTACAGAACTTAGCACACTTAGTGCTCAATAATGAGGGCCTTTCTGTGACTACAGTCTAGACTTCCTTGAGCCTCTTTTTTCCAGTTATAAAAAAAATGAATAGTTCTCCAAGGATGGATGGTACTTCTATCAAAGGGTCCCCCGAGTCCCAAAATTGTATACCTATGATGTCCCTGGTCCACAGCTTCAGATGGACTCTTGTTCTCCCTTCTCTGTCTCCTGCTGTCCTACCCATCCCTGACACTCCACTTCCTCCAGTAAGACTTCTTGGACCCCTGGGTTGGAAATTTACCCCTCCCACAGCATGTCTTTTGCAGTTTACTTATTTAGGGCTTGTTGAGTTCATGAATTTTTTTTTTCTTGTAGGTACAGGCATTTTGATTTCTATAATGAAATTGTAAGCTTCTGAGGGAGAGTAATACTTGTGTCTAGACTTTAAGTTCATTGTGGGTAGAAACCTTGTATCATAGTTGTTCATTCACGTAAGATGTATTTATCAGGTGGTTCTTATTGTGAGGTAACAGAAGGGCAAGTAAGACTTAAGTTAGGGGGCTGCAGACATAGCTCAGAGGTAGAGTACTTGGTGAGCATGGCTGAGGCCCCAGGTTCTATCCCCCGCACCACCAAAAAAAAAAAAAAAAGAAAAGACGGTTAGAATCTAGCTCAATCACTTACTATATAAGTATGAACAAGAAATATAATCATTTCCATTTAGGTATCTCTAAATATGGTAAAACTTAGCTGGACAGGGCTATAAACTTAACATAAATCTTACTGAACTATAATATGCTGTTAAATTTCTGCCTTATTTGAGATATATGTTTTTCAATAGGTAGAAGTGGGTGGTAGCATCTGATAGAGGACATTTTGTCACCTGAGAAGGAATGGACTGTAGGGGGCTGGGGATTTAGCTCAGTGGTTTTGCCGCCTGCTGTGCAAGTGCAAGGACCCGAGTTAAATCCCCGGCACCAAAAAAAAAAGGACTGGATTGTCAATGACTGAAGGACATTGCTGGCATGTATGTATGTATGTATGTATGTATGTATGTATTTATTTATTTATTTATTGGTACCAGGGATTGAACTCGGGTCCTTGTGCTTGCACAGCAGGCGGCGAAACCACTGAGCTAAATCCCCAGCCCTCATTGCTGGCATTTAGAATCTAAATGCCAGGAGAGCTAAATATCTTACAATGTAAGGGATAATCATGCAATACAAATTGTTTCTCTTAAAATTCCAGTAAGAAACATGTCATTGAGAAATATCACTTTCTACTCAAGAATATAATTATGTCTATCTGTACATTCTCAGACTCTAGCTCGGGCCTTGAGTGGGGAACAATGAATCTATGTTGACTGAATGAAAACATAAATTATAACGATATCATTTTATTATGTGCTATAGAATGAGCTACATTAGAGCCGCGTTTGTCAAAGTTATAACCTTGGCCACATCAACCCCAACTGCTGCCTACCATATGGTTTTTTTTTTTTTTGGTGCAGGGGATTGAACTTGGGTCCTTGCACTTGCGCAGCAGGTGGAGATACCACTGAGCTAAATCCTCAGCCCACCATATGGTATTTTAACCACTTGCCAGTCCAATTACTTAAATACAGGATGACCAAAAATTGCAGATTTTTGCATTAATTTTTATAAGATAATAGGAAATATAAAAATGACAATTTAATCAAATTTATTCAATACAAGAATCAACTGGTTGAAATGACACCTGCCTGAGCAACCCTTGAGATAGTCAGTACATAAACAAACTCACTGCCTAAGTGCCCTTGTGGAAACTGTTACAGTGGTTAAGATGCATATGAGAGGACCAAAATGATGCAATCTGAGAAGTGCTGCCAGACATTGTTGACCTCATTTGTTAGGCAACCTTTCTCAGCTGGAAAGCTCTTTCACCTGAGTATAACTTGGCTAGACCTGCAGGTAGGGAAGAGAGGCCTGGATGAGAAACACAGGTTTCGGCAGTCACCTCAAGGATGAAATTTCTGATGGGATTAGTTTTGAATCTCTATTCATGAATCCCAGGAACTTGTACACTACTTACCTTTTGGAAATCAATGGAAAGTTGCTGAATGAATGCTTGGAGCTCTTGTTCCTTTCGCTCTAGGGCTGTGATCTTACTTTCTGCACCTGCTTTTGCAGCTGTCACGTGATCTCTTCATCAAAAGAAAGCAGACAAGGAACAAATTTGGAAAATTTCTCTATGACACACTCTCCAAAGGAAAAATGCAGGTTTCCTGGTATGTGAGGGCTGCAAACATTGTTAACCACATGAAGGTTATCAATGGAAAACACTTGTTGACTCTCCCTGAAGCAGAACCCCAAAGAGAAGTCAACTCAGGTTTAAGCAAGAAATCCTGATCTGCCTTTGCTTACACAATAATGTTAATAATAAAACCATACTGAACTGCTCAGCAGGAATGGATCAGAGCTGAGGCAGGTGGAGGAGAGAAAGGCTCCATGGTAGGATGGGATGGGATGGAGAGCCTGAGTCCTAGACAGGTAAGGGCAAATCTGGAAGCCTTTGCCAGATCACAAAGTGTCTCAATGAGCAATGGAGAAAGGTGGGCAGGCTACAGTCAGAGCTACACTAAGACCTCTTCCCGCCGGCCCCACAGACCAAGCAAGAACCTCTGCTCTTCCAGCGTTGAATAGCACCTCTGCAATTCTTCTAGCTTCTGTCTTAAGTCTGATGACATCTGATTAAAGATCATCAATTCCTCCTGGGTTTGACTAAGTTCTCTGGTCTGTGCCTCCAACTTTTGCTGCATTTTTCCCAGACTTTCTTCTTTTTTTAAAAGCTGATTCAAAGACATAAAGTTGCATTAGGCTTCTGCTAAGAAATATACTTTTTATTTATTTATTTTTGAGACAAGTCTCACCATGTAGTTCAGGCTGATTTTGAACTCACTATATAGCCCAGGATGGCCTTGAACTTGCATTGATCCTCTTGCATCAGCCTCACAAGTGCTAGGATTACAAGCGTGCACTACCACGCCCAGCTCAAGAAATATACTTTAAAAAAGTAGCCAGAAGTTTGTAACATGCTTGTGGTATTAGGAGCTTAGCTGAATGCAGTGGCATTTGCCTATAGTACCAGCTATTTAGAAGGTTGAGGTAGGAGGATCATGAGTTCAAGGGCAGCGTGGGCACACAGCAAAACCCTCTTTCTTCTTTTTGTTTTTTTGGTGGTGCTGGAGATCAAACTCAGAGACTCATTAGGCAGGCACTCTACCATGAGCTATATATACCTCCAGTTCATGATTCTGTCATTTATTCAAAACAAAACAAAACTTACAGGCCCAGAGGAAGACTTATACACTTTATACTAAAACAACCTAATGGGAAAAGGAAATATATTTCAAATAGAAATTTTCCATTTCAGTAAATTTTAAAACATTTAAATGTGATTAATATCAAACACTGTAAGTCTACTTATCAGCAGTTAGAGAGTGACAACAGGCCAAACTGAGGGTAAATTATCATTATTTGTTACTCAGTAGGTATTAAATCAGTATTTAGCATCTAAAACAAAAAGCATACCATGTGCTTTACTTTACTTAGCTCCTGTTGCTGGAACCCTTCTAATTCATCAATTTCATCTCTCCTTTGGAAAAGATTCAAACTCTGGTTCTCTACTTCCTGTAATTGAGCTGTCAAAAATCTTTTCTCCTATTTGGAAGAAGACATTAATTCAGGCAACTAAAATATTAGAAATCTGTACTAAAACATGCAGAATTATTAGTTATTATTATTATTATTTTTGTTTTCTTTTGGTACCGGGGATCAAACTTAGGACCTTGCTCTTTTGAGGCAGGTGCGGCACCACTGAGCTAAATCCCCAGCCCATGGAGAATTATTAATGAAGGATAATCTGATGCCAACAGAAAATATCACATTGATAATGATAATGAGAAGTGATGATGAGAAATGTTTCAGTAATATGACTAATATGGCATTATTTACCATTAAAAAGAAATGTGAATTAAATGATAACTGATAATTGGGTCAAATGGAATTTCTACTTTTAGTCTTTTTTTTTTTTTTTGGTACTGGGAATCGAACTTGGGTCCTTGTGCTTGCGCAGCAGGCAGCAAAACCACTGAGGTAAATCCCCGGCCCTAACTGATAACTGGGAATAAGGAAAGAACAATTACTCAAAACTTTGTTCTTAAGGCTGCTTAGCAATTAGAGATACATATTTTACATGTCTATTCTTAGTGTCAAATTGAACTGGCTGAAAAACATGAAAAACTGGAATAAAACTAAATGTCCTGAAAAGCTTGTAGAATTTAACAAGTTAAAAAAAAATTAGCCCTTCAGTGGTTTCAGCGCCTGCTGCACAAGTGCAAGGACCGGAGTTTGATCCCTAGTACCAAAAAAAAAAAAAAAAGTAATTTCTCATTGTGTTTCTT